CACCTTCTCTTCTCCACTTCCTCACCTCCACCCTGAGCATTCTCAATATGCGTATTTGTTTTCTTATGCTTCCCCCATCCACTTTTCCTCACATTGCACTCACACACCTGACAATACACATTCTCAAACTTATCACCTTTCATCTCCTTAGTACCTATTGCTACTATCCCTTTAAGTATTGGTCAGGTGAACATCCCCCATTGGTCTCTCATAGAAGAAATTAGAATAGTAAATATCTAGTTTATAGCATTATATAAATATTTATCTGATCAACTCATCTGGGATTATGTATAATTCCTTCTGATTAAACAATGTATAGTTTTCAAGTTTTCAGGCCATGTTTCCTTCCTATTGCTAGGTGCCCTTTGTGCTGTTTCCCTATGCCTATTCCCTTCCATTTGTACGCAGTTCTTTTTACATAATGGTTTAGGTGTCCAAGTTTTTATATTTGTCCAAAGTCTGGTGCGTTTTCTGTATGCCATTCCATCTTTACAATAATCAACATCAAAAAACGAAGTTTTTCCATAAACTCTTGCTCCTTCAAAAGTCCGGTCTGGGGGGTTTTCAACGAAAACATTTGGATCAAAATAGTTTATTATGTCAATAGCTTTCTTCACTGTTTCATTTGCTTCATCAATTTTTCTAGTGCCTGTTTGTTTTGCTATGATGTATTCAGTGCAAGGCGGGGATGACCAAGTAACATCAAAGTCGTTGTCAAATTTATTATAATCAAATTTCAAAATATCCTCATTGATACTAGCATTTTTAAGATCAAGTGATATAATAGTATAACCAAGTTCTTTAACAATTCTTCCAACACTACCTGTGCCTGAAAATATAGGGGTTCACGAAATGATGGCACAAGTAAAATGGTTGAAATATGCCATCAAAGATTAAAGATTTCAGCGCAAAATTGAGCTTTGACAATAGGAACACTCAAATGACATACCAATACACTGAAGCAATGGCAGGGCCGCTGTGAGAGCGGGGTTCTTTGAGAGTGCTGGGGTTGCATTCACAAAAGAAAAGTAAAAGAGAGGGCGGAAGGCAAGCAGGGAGAGAGGGAGGGAGGGGGAGGAAGGGAATGAGGAAATGACATGCACTAACACAGGAACAGCATACTGAGAGGAGAGGACCATTATATACAACAATGGTAGGTCCGCTGCGAGAGCAGGACAAAGCAAAAGGGAAAGAAGAGGCAGGGAGTGAGGAAGGGAGGAGAATGAAATGAATTGAACATAGGAACGCTAAGATGGTACACCACACACAAAGAGAGAGAGAGAGAGGGAGTTACAGAGAGTGAGAGAGTGAGAGTGAGAGTGAGCTAGTCTCATACTAGAATCCAGCAAATGGAATGAAGTCCAAGAGAAGGAACAAAGGAAAGAAACTATACAGACAGGAAAGGACACCCCCAAAAAAACACACATATAATATATATATATACGTATATAAGATGAGATAAGGCGCCTGCTGCACAGGCTACCTTATTTGATCTTGGTTAAGCCTTTGTTCAGGGAGCCGCGGTGGGAGAGAGAAAGAGAGAGAGAGGAACTAACATAACTAAGGACGTCCTGGAACCCCTGGCAAGTAATTGAGGTATGTCCAAACGGGCTAAAGGGCATGAAAAGAATACTAAATAGAACGGCAAGGATAAAGGCAGTTGAAAGGATGCGAGGAAAGAGTGGTATGCATTGAACATAGGAACGTTAAGATGGCACGTGAGGAAATGATATGCACTAACGCAGGAACAGCATACCGAATGGAGAGGACCATTATATACAACAATGGTAGGTCCGCTGCGAGAGCAGGGCACAAAGCAAAAGGGAAAGAAGAGGCAGGGAGTGAGGAAGGGAAGAAGAATGAAATGAATTGAACATAGGAACACTAAGATGGCACACTACACACAAAGAGAGAGAGAGAGGGAGTTACAGAGAGTGAGAGAGTGAGAGTGAGAGCGAGCTAGTCTCATACTAGAATCCAGCAAATGGAATGAAGTCCAAGAGAAGGAACAAAGGAAAGAAACTATACAAACAGGACACCTACAATGCATGACACTCTTGGGGCTGCTGGATGGAAAAGGTTTTTTGCGGAAACTGAGTTTCTGGTGTGGGAGAACTGGAAAGCGTCGACAGAGAGAGAGAGAGAGGGAGAGAGAGAGAGAGACCAGCAAACAGAGTACAACACCCTTAAGGCCTGCAACAAACAATAAGATGGCATACCAGCCAAACGGCTCTAGTAGATTACAATGCCGATCCCCCCAAGCATCAACTGACCACTATGATGGCACACATGGCCCTTTCAGATCCTCGATGTGTTTCATCAAAAAGTGCATATATGCCATGTATTGTCTCGATTCCTGTGTGCCATCAAAGTGTGAACCTGTATAATTGTTATAATTTCATAATAATATTTTGTCATAGAAATATATTATCATGAGTATGTTTCAGTGTCTTCATCATAATCAATTTTGTAACATTGTATGGTGGTCTCTTTAGGTTGTTTTATTATTTTTGAATTCAACATTTCTAAATACTGCTTCCTTTTGGTTTCAAAGTCCCCTACTGGTCTACCTATGCTTTTCTTTTCAGATGCTTCTCCATTTTCCTTAAATCATTTTTTCTCATTAGTCTTTTCATCAATGGTTTTTAACAACTGTAAGATCAATTTAAGACTATTGTTATATCTGTTCATTTTCTTTATCAGCTCATCCATTTTATCAGTATTATCTAAAGTAATAGATCCACCATCATCTTTTGAAACTTTCATAGTCTTATCTTATCACTCTTGCTGATTTTAAAGCTATATGGATTACACTTACACTTTTTGCCTTTAGTGTTGATTTCAATTTCATTCTCAGTTGTAGTTTTCCCTGGCATAAAGGACAGTCAAAGGTAATGAATTTGCTTGTTAGTTTTTGTTCTTCATCTAGTTTTATTGTTGTTGGTTCTTCATCTGCTAGTTCAAACTCTTCGGGGATTTGTGTTTTATTCATCTTTGTTGTTTTTTTGGTCTTTTTTGGTGGCATGTATAATATTACATTTTAGATAAGTAATTATCAATTTTGACATGTCCAGTGAGTATTTACAACACTGCTTAAGTTTATTATCTTTAACAACTGGATATTTAGCACTATCATTTTTTTCCATATCATCTCTTCCTGTTATATAAGCATCATGTTCAGATAGCGTCATAATATATAACTATAATTAGATAATGCTTTAACACCATCTAATTATGTAGTGCTTGGGAGAACACTAAAAACGAATTCAACTGTAAGGGCAAAAAATCCATTGCTGAAAAGCAAACTAATTACCGACTTATGCGGATTAGCGTAGCCTCACCTACCGCACTCTGTCCATAGGAGATCTGCTAATATTTAATAATGTTTTCTATGTATTCTTATTAATAGATGAATAATAACACCGCACCACATATTCAACCTATCAAAGAAATCAATTATGAATTCACTCAATCAAAATATGCTGTTGCCTCTAAAGTGCCCTTTAGATCAATCATAACCGGTCCGTCTGGTAGTAGCAAATCAGTGCTACTAACAAACATGAATATGGACACCTACAAGGAAGTTTTTCAAGGGTGTATATCTGGTCACCTTCAATAAATGTTGATAGCATCTGGTTGCCAGTCAAGAAATACATAAAGGAAGAAATGAAAGTGAACACTGGTAAAGAGCAGGTTTTGTTTGAAGACTTTCACAGTGAAGATTTAATGAAAGTCATTGAAACACAACATAGAATAACTGAATACAGTAAAAAAACATAAATAAAAAAAACAATCCTAATAGTCTTGGATGATATAGCAGATGATCCCAAAATAGCAAGATATTCAAACATATTTGATTCCCTTTATGTAAGAGGTAGACACAATGGTATTAGTGTTATAACATCTGTTCACAAATTTAATGCACTGACCACACTGATAAGAGTTAATGCCACACACCTATTCTTCTACAAGGTCAGCAACTTTAAAGAAATAGAACTGTTTCAAAAAAGAACTATCAGCAATACCTAGAAGAAAAGAAACAATATCCAAGAAAGTAAGCAGGTCTTATATAAACTTTATGAAATAGCCACTGAACAGCCACATATGTTTTTAGATATTAATCTTCTGGAAAAGGATAGGAACAAGATGTTTATGATCAATTTTCACACTATTTGCAAATTGATGATTGATAATGTTAATATGATCAATCTTTATACCAATGAAGGAGCACAAATATTATAGCAGGTAGTTTATACATAATCCTATTCGATTTCAGGATGTGAGCAGCTGGGAAGGTTCGTCAAGGGTACACATTCTATCACGAGCGAAATGAACCCCAAAGGTCCCTACCACATATATATATATATATATTTGTATATATTTGTATATATATACACCGTTTTGGCTGTTTATTTTGGGAGGACTGGCGATGGTTCCAAGCTGTGCACAGCATCCGATGTGCAAAGCATCCCCCAGGGCCCCGTCCGCTTCCACCCGATCGGCGCGAATCGGTGCGGTGCTGGCGTTCCTTCCAAGGCACCCCACCGAGGCGCCGCCTAGCTCATCCGCGACCGGCGACCGGACTCTCGGCACTCTCGGCTCTACCGGCGAGACTTCCGCCCAATAGAACAAGCGCAGCTTGAGACCGGCGAGGAGTTCGGCAGTGATGGACAGAACTCGAGCCCCGAACTCGCTTGGACCCGCGAACGGGCCATGAAGTACAAAAAGGAGTGGATCTGGCTTCAAGTGGCACCAATATGGTCTGTGTCACGGTTCGGGAGAAGCGCTGGATGATCTGAAGATGACTCACTGCAATTCGCAGGCCAGAATTCCAGAGAGTGATAGTATGGGCAGAATCGATACCAATAATATGGACCAAACAACACAAGTTCATAGAAAAATGGTCTGCTGGCTTGGGCTTGGTCCAATCTCATGTGGTTCTCTCATGCAGCTGCCTTGAGATGTTCTCCCCAAGCTGCCTGAATAATTAGGATTGATTAGCACTCTGACTCTAATCACCCTCACATGCGTCGTACCAATAGTGGCATCTTGAGGGGGTAGGGCTTTGAAGCCCCAATCCTGCTTCTTCACCAAGACAGCCAGACCATCCAAATCCGGGAACTCTTGTCATTGGTACTCTGCAAACTGTCCAGTGAAACAGAGGAAAGCCGGCACCGCATATGCCGATGCTCTGACTTTAGCCGGCTAACTAGAATTGCCTATGGTGAAACTCCTGGCATGCACGTCTAACATGGAAAGTCCAAGGTCACAGACAGCAGCTCTTCCGGTTCAGCTTCGCCGTCCGACAAGGACAAGATCGTCTCGATATCACTCCCCTCCTTCTCCTCTTCACCTGAGACGCCGAACCAACTAAAGGATGTCACACTACAAAACCAGGTGAACCATCTTCTTACCACGGTCTTGGAAGTCTGGGTTTAGTATAGGGTCGCAAGGGAAGGGGCCTAGGGGCCCCATGCGGTCCTTGCCGACCGCGGAAGGGCGGACACCCAAAGCCAGTACTCCATGCGGGTCGCTGGGACCCGGTGTGACCTGACCTGAACTAGTCGGGTGCCACTCGGCCTGGGAGCGCCGCGGCGTATAGAGTTGAGTGGACGCCCTCCCATCGGAAAAAGAAGGTGGGCTAGGTCAGTGGACCAGTAGAGCGCACGGAAAGAGATGCAGTGGCACGGGCCGGAGTTTCAGAGCACTCCTACAAGAGCCCTCCACTGAAGCACAAGTGAGACAGGAAGCGGTGATGTGGCATGTAGAAGGGATGACATGGAAGCATTGGGTGCTTTATAGATGGTGCAAGTGGCTTGGAAGTGGAGAGTCATCTACTTGCAACAAGATGCCAAGAGCACCCAACCAAAGACACTGTTACAGAGCTTCACATCGCATCCCAGGAAGGAGTCTGAAAAGCAGTTGCACAAGCCCACAATCAACCACTGACTGTGTATCTGCACAGCTCTGGACTGACTTAAGGCCCCCCAAACAAACATAAATACATGAACATTCAACTCCTTAAATGAAGAAAACAAAGAAAACTCCCCACCCAAAATCACCCAAAAGAAACCCTTCTTTCTACCACTCTTCTTCCCCCCCATCCTCTCATCCCCCCGTCCTCTTTCCGCTGAACCCCGGCACCTTCCCTCCTCGTCTTCACCTCGGGCGCGGGCGCCGCCGGAACACGACCGCCGCCATAGCCGCCACGCGCACCCAGCGAGACCGGGATGGTGCTCCGCAGCAGCGGCGCCCCGATGCGGAAGACCTGGCGGATGGAGCCGAGCTGGTCGGCAAATCTTGGCCCTCAACATTTTACACATCGAAACTTCTGACCCTCTGGACAGCACATTCAGTAAAAGTACCTCGACCAAGAAAAGAACTAAATACTCTCCCTGGAACTACGCAACATGACAGTGGAAAACCGATGGATACCCTTTAAGCCTCCGAGTGTACTTGCAGCCGTAGTCACGACCCACCAAGTGCAACACCGAGAAAAAGGTATCAACTGAAAAAGGTCTCACGGAGGGCCTCTGACCTTGCTCGATCATGATGTTCAACAAAAGTGACAAACAAATACAAACAATGCATCACCAAAACCGCACACCCTGCCTCATCACCCTGCCCCACACGCCATGCGCCGTCCTGCGCAGCACACGGGCCACGCGCGCCACGCGCCACGCGCGCCTTGGTGCGAATCTCTGAGGAGCTTTGGCCCACGGCGATGGTGCACTGGGCATTGGGCGAGACGTCGGAGCTCTCGGGCGGCGGCCTTAGCACATCACGAACGGGCGGAGGTCGTGGGCTTCGCAGTGAAATCCCATGTGATGGGCCCAGAACAATGATGATAGTTACAGTAAGTTTCAGGCCCTTCCATCTCCGTTTCAGGCCCTTCCATCTCTTTCAGGCCCTTCCATCTCCAATATGATGATCATAGACTGTTTGCCAACTGTTACAGGTAGTGCGGCACCCCGCCAAAATTGCGAGCCTGGATGCAATAACAATCCCTTTACCTAGATACCTTGAAGGTCTAACATCTCCATATGGTTGACCATCTCCCCTTCAATCACCAAAAGACCCCTTTGATCAACAGCAATTGCTGCAAGGTGGAATGTCTTGATCTAATTATATATATTTATGTTGTTCTCGGCCGGGGTCAGTCGCGAGAGGCAGTGATTTGCGGCCTCCATTTGTGCGCTTTCGCGGTGGGCACAGCCTTGGTGTGTACATTTTGTGGCAGGCACAGCACTTTGTAAAACTTGATATGCAGGTTTCATGGCAGGCACAGCATGTTGTGAACTCTGATGTGCCGACTTCGTGGCTAATGGAAATTGAAGTGCCGATTTTGCGGCAGGCGCAGCACTTTGGGGCCTCATATGTAGACCGGCCATGTCGGTGAAATATTTGGTGCGTGCGCGCTCTCATGTGCTCTCATGTGTTTGTCTGCTCGCAGGTGGGCGCTGACATGAACATACTAACAAGAATCCGCAAGAAAGGAAATATAAGTAGTCGGGCGACGCAGGGACCACGCAAGCAAAGAAACCGGAAAAGGATGCGGCAAAACAGAAGCAGCAGCGAAAGGAAGAAAATTCTACATTTTATATTGTGCAGAGGCCAGCGGGGTGAACAAAAGCGGGTAGGCTTTCCTGATCAGCTGGTGAGCCAACCTCATGAGCCACCATAAGGATTCCTCTCCACAGTGCCTTTTGGGAATTGGCTGATGAAGATGATGAGGATGATGAGTAAGAGGCACCTTGGCTGGGAAGGGGGGCGGGGTGAAGGAATCAATGGTATGGAGTGGAGCTTTGCACTTTCTGGGGTGGTAGGTATGAGAAGAACCAAGGGGAATAGGCATAAGAAGAACCATTGTACTTACCACTAGAGTTTGGCAGCAGCAGACCACCGAGCAGCAGCAGCAGCAGCAGCCTGAGTTTCCAGCGTGGCACCTGCTGAGCGCATTTGATGTGTTTGACTTTGGCGGAACTCCCGCAGCCCAGAAGTGGGGGCTGCAAGTGGACGAAGCATTGAAGAAGCTTGCTCAGGCGTTCAAGTGTTGGATGAGGCAGAGCCGCGGAGCCAATGTCAGCATTTTGCCGACGGCTAAACCCGGAGGCTTCTCTACCACCACTTTGCCCTTCTTTTGCCCTGTGGAGCCTTTTTTGCCACAGTTGACAACCATTCTGTTATTCTGTCCGACTTTTGCTTGGCTGCTGCGTTGCTGCTGCCTGCTGTTGGTTTGTTACTGCTGCTGCTGCTGCCCAAGCATTGCGCGCCAACTTCTTCTGGTCTTCGCCGCCGTAGTCAGGGCCGTCGTTGGACTGGATCCGATGCCAAAACGTCCCAAACAGAGCCGTACGCCGCACGTGATTCTTGGGTGGAGCTTAATGCAAACCCCTTTCACTTTTAAGGGCCCTATTGTTAGACCCTTAAAGGGCCCTGGCAGGGGACAAGCTTTCTAGACCAAGAACGGTCAGGATCTTGCAACTGGTTGTGGTCCAACCCTCTGACTTCCAGGCTATGTGGGCAGCTCACATGATAAACTCCCAGGACAACCAATTACTGACCTCATAAACTGTCCCGCCCTCCTTTACACAAATCCCCACGACCAACCTGCTCCTCAGGTCTGAGGAAGACCTTGAGGAGTCAAGACATCCTCCTCTCCAAAAAAAATATAACTGCTGGGCGCATTGCCGCGATTTCTCGCTCCAAACCAGGTCGAGGAGCTTGCACGCCCCAGGGGGGTCTGAATTCGCGCAAAGGTCCTGACCGACATCAGCGGAGCCATTCACGGCTTCTGCGAAGGGCGACTTCTGGTGAACCCCTTGCTCAGGTGATGGCAAGACCCCGAGTACACTACAGTCACGTGATGTTACGTGGATGGCATGGCCCCTGGAAAGACAATGAAATCAAAATACCTAGCAAGGGATTGTCCGCTTTCATGTTTGTTGAAGGGATGGTAAATGAACAATTAGATCCTCCTTTGTAAAGAACAATAAAAGTTTCTAGTTTTCTAACTAGTGCTGGGGGCACTTCTTTTATCTGTTTGAGATTCAGCCCAGGGATCAGTTTGAGATGAGTGGTGCCCCTAAAATGCTCACCAAGCGGTGGCGATGCGTTTGGAGCAGTGACACCAGCACAAGGACTGCAATCTTTGATGATGCAACAGAAAGACCCCGCACAAGTGAGAGTATAGTTAGTGTAGTTCTATGTGCTCGTGATCCGTTCCTTGCATGGCTCATGACATGGGTTTGCTGATGTGGTGAACTATAGCTATTGATGACTCGATGACATATTAACTGCATGTATTTATTATCTGCCCTGAAGGAAAAAAAACTATCCTGAACACTAAACAACTTGTTCATGTCAAACACATTATTACCATCGTTTCGCCAGAAACGACATGCATGGTTGCCCCAAAAAACGCACAAGACTAAGGCGCATCATTCACGTTTCTGGGTTCGTTGAAGTTTCATTTATTGCCTGACACAATGCAAAATCCATCAACATCCCATGACACATTATACTATTTGTATATATATATATGTGTTCTTTTTGTTCCATTCCAATTTCCCAAATTCTTTGTCTGGACTATGGGTCTTTTTCAGGATCAAACCTCCAAGCTAGCCGCCCCGAAAAATCCAGTGCCTCGGCCGAAGCCACAGCGGAGGGATCTAAATTCAGATCCAAAGCCAGCGCCTGGGCGGGATGATCAATCGCACAACGGGCGGAATCCATGACCCAAGAGTTGCTACCCGCCCCTTTCGTTCATCGCCAGCGCCCTGATCATC